TTCCTTGTGCGAAACTGGGATTCGGCAAAGTTGTTCCTCGAAAACGGCCGTGATGTCGACTTCTATCTGCGAAATAACGACATCTTCTTCGGGATCCGATTTCGGCGGAATCAGACGGGAAAGAGCATCGGCTTGACCAAATTTGGTAGTATTACGATATTCAATTGTAAAATCGTAATTGTTTAGTTGTAAACACCACCTTTGCAAGCGATTTGCGGTGTGTTGTGGGATGCCTTTCTTTGACCCGTAAATTGGTAAAAGGGGCTTATGGTCCGTCAAAAGTACGAAACGTCTTCCATAAATGTATCGATGGAAGCGGCGAATCGCAAAAATGAGGGCTAAGCCTTCTTTTTCGATCTGGCTGTAGTTTTTCTCCGCCACGGTCAATGCTCTGCTAGCATGCGCGATAGCCTTTTCAGTGCCATCCGCGAACCGGTGTGTGATGACTGCCCCAAGTCCCTGCTCGCTGGCATCAGCGGCGACGACAATCGGCAACTTGGCGTCATAATGGCAAAGTAACAAGTCGGAAATCACGATTTCCTTGAGCGACTGGAACGCTCTTTCACAGTCCTCGTGCCAGATGAACTTGACGTCTTTTCTTTTCAACTCGTCGAGCGGAGCGCGCAATTGCCGCATGCGAGGAATAAAAGACTGGTAAAATGAAACCATGCCCAGAAAACTTTCAACTTCTTTCAGGCAGGTTGGTCGTGGCATTTTTGCTATCGCAGCCGTCCTTTCGCCGTCCGGTTTTCGGCCTTGTGCATCAAGAATGAAGCCAAGATATTTCACCGAGGACTGACCGAAGGAACATTTTTCAAGTTTGACGCGCAATCCGTACTGATGGATTCGCTCAAACAATTGACGGACTCTGTCGTCGTGCTCCTCTTGGTTTCGGCCGGTGATCAACAGATCATCCAAGTAGGCAGCAGTACCGTCGAGGCCTGCGATCAAATTATCCACTATTTTCTGGAAAATACCGGGTGCAGTTTTTACTCCAAATATCAATCGCTGATATTGAAAAAGACCTTTGTGCGTATTGATCGTTAGGTATTCTTGGCTGGAAGCCTCAACCTCGATTTGCAAGTAAGCATCTTTCAGGTCAATCTGCGAGAACACTTGTCCACCGTTGAGCTTTGTGAAAATTTCTTCCGCGGTTGGAAGAGGATGATGGTAGTCTTTCAACGCATCATTCAGCCCGGTGGAGAAATCACCGCACAGTCGCAAGGAGCCGTCTTTCTTCTTGACTGGAACGACCGGTGCTGCCCATTGACTGTAAGTGACCGGTTTTAAAACCGTCAAATCAACAAGTCGCTGGAGTTCTTGTTCAATGGCTGCTTCCATTGAAAATGCAACACGTCGAAATGGAAAGAAAATTGGTTGTGCATCTGCTTTTAGCTGCAATTCGGCTTTTGCAACCGTGCACAAACCAAGGCCATCCTTGAAAACAGCTGGGTATTTCTCGACAAGCTCTTTCTCCAGTTGAGAATGCTTCACTTGTACCTTATTCACACACAATTCTTCGAAACACGAAGCGAATTGAGGCAATTGATTAATCCAATCAAGGCCCATCAGCCGGATGTTGTTCGTCACAAAACATCGGCCGTGCCCTTCAATGCCTTTCACTTCAAATTTCGTGTCAAAGGACCCTTTCACGTCAATTGGACTGCCGTTTGCAGCGCGTAGTTGAATATTCGTCTTTTGTAACTGTGGGCAATTCAGTTTATGCCACACAGCATCATCAATAATCGTTACAGCTGCTCCGGTATCTAATTGCAACGTAAAACCGATTCCTTCGATTGAAAGCTCGACATCTTTCCGAGTAGAGTCGATGGCATTGATGTGGACCACCTGATTCACTTTCGGTTTCCAATCTTTTTTGTGAAAATTCCTTGCTTTAGATGAATTTTCAGCTCCTCGGTTGTTTCCAGAACCTCCGCGACACTCTTTGGCCCAGTGTCCGCGTTTTCCACACTGATGACATGTGTCATTCCGCTTGTCCCTTGGGGTCCGATCATTAGAATCGAAGTTTCTCGGGCTACCATTGCTAGAGGCATGCCCTTGTCCCTTGTTCCACGTCTTTCGCGACCCGTGCTGGATCCGATTCACACTGGCATGCTGTTCGACTACAACATCCAGGTTCAGGCTTGTTTGCAGATCGCATTCTCGCAGAAGATCCTCAAGCTTTACGTCATCCTTCGACTCCAGGATACGTATCAGCTTCTTTCGGATTTCGCGATTGGCCTGATCGGCTAATCCAGCCACAAAAAGTAGGCACTTTTCTTCGTCCTCTTTCATTTCCTTGACGCGACCCTGCTCGTAGAGCTTGTTGACGCGTGTGGCGTATGACCGCATGTCCTCATCAGCTTCTTTCGTCACGCGAAAAGCGAGGAATCGACGGCTGAAAAGAGACATCTTTTCACCGAACAACGATGTCAAATGCTTGACAATGTCGGGATACTTCACATCCGCCAACTCCGTTGGACGCGTGTGGTCTGCCAGCAAATTATACGCTTTGGCATCGAGCATCGAGATAACAAGGTGTTTTTTGTTATCCTCGGTGATGCGCGTTTCCGTGGACACGAGGTTATTGAAACGCTCGAGCCACTTCTCGAACGTATGCCCTTCAGTTGGGTCATACTCGAAACGGCATAAACGAGTGGCTAGGGCGCCCAACTCGATCGCATTCAGAGGCCTAGGCAATTGGCTTGAATCTTCGCCACCTTCTTCCCCTGGATGGGTTCGGGTGCGGATCACGTCGATGAGTTGCGTCATTTGGGCTAGCAACGCCTTCATGTCGGGGTCGGCCATGTTTCAACTTCAGGTGCGGCTCGTATCTGCTCGCCAATGTTGTAGATGTGCTTCTTCGTGAGTTCTTGTGCTGGAGAGTGCCAAGGGAACACCTTGCGCACTTACCGTTTGACACCTGAATAGTTACGAAAGAAGAGAGAACAACTTTTATTACACAACGGTAAAACGACCTAAAAAACAAGCAGCGGGACAAGCAGGGAAAAGTGGGAAGAGAGCAAATCACAGGGCTCTCTGGCTCGGGGGGAAAGGGTGCACAAGGGGACGGAGGGAGGAGTACTGCGTCGTAGCGCATACAGGGCAAAACGATTCGGATCAGCTTTTGCTTCTTCTCTCAACAAATAATGATAATAATAATAAATGAATAATTGTAATACATATTGTTATCAATTGTTATGCGAAAGAGACGGTTGGTGAGAGAGGGCGAGAGAGGGCGAGAGAGAGAGAGAGAGCGAGAGTTGCGAATTTAGTTAGAAATTAGAAGTTATTTTCGTTGGTTCTTAATGCGATTTTTTAGAAACCGTATTGGGAGAGATACTTTCGGAAAGATCAAGCCCAGCCACAATTTATGGCGCTATCAGCCCGGTCACCCTTGTCTGGCGGCATAATTACAGGTCGTAAGGCTTTCACCCGGAGAGAGAGAGAGAGAGAGAGAGAGAGAGAGAGAGGAGATAGAAAGCTAGAGACCGAATATGGTTTGGTGCTCTTGTGGGGTGATCCTTCAACCAAATGACTTCACCCTCAAACCCGATCTGCCGAAGTAATGCCGAAAGCCGGGCGCTGAGGAATGAGGAACAACCGAAGCACCGTGTTCTGATGGTTGTCCTGAGGATGGGCAGAGGCTTGCCAACCCAAAAGTGGCCGCCCGATGATACCTCGGCATCGCGTTTGGCTATCAGTGATGCACTGCCGGATTTTTGCCGTAGTCTGGAGTCTCGTCTTCTATTTATTGCTCCAAATTGTCACCGCTGAGCACTGCTTTACCGCCCGGAAACCAAAGACCTTGCGCCTACGCAACGCTGCAACTGCAAGGGGCTGGGATCATAATGCGAGGGTGGTAAGTTAGAGTTTCTAATGGCGGCTACTTTATCTGCCACCCCCACCCACCCCGGAACCCCAAATTTTTCGACATTTTCGCTATTTTGCCGGCGGTTTCGTTTGCCGTAAAGTAAAGTTTTACTCTTGTGTCGAAAAATCGAGTGTCGGCATTTTCATATTTTGTTTCAATTCAAAAGCTTTGCCGATGAAGGGAAAACAAATATTACGTTTATTTTTTGACTTCCTAGAACCCCCTCTTAGCGACAAATCAACGACGGCCAGTTCGGGATCAAGACGTGCAGCGTGCCGAAGGTGATGTCGTCGATGGTCAGTCATGTGATGTGCGATCTCTTCCATGCATATCACGGATCCAATGGGGATGCCGGCACTTCGAGGAGCGGGTTTGTGATTTGTATCGGATAAATTTGAAGCAAGTTTGAAACAAAAATGAAACCAAAAGTGGTTGAAAGGGTTCCCCCGCGATCCCAGAGTTTCCACCATCAAATTTTGGATCTGCCGCTCATTTGTTCGTGAGTTTAAAGCTTTTCATCTATTCGTTCTTACCAGTTAAACCAAGGCGAACAGTTTTGTATACCGGGGTCCCAATAAAACAGTCGGCGTAGAAGTATCGGATCGGAACTATAGTTACACCACTTGAAAGCGCTTGAAGAGACAAACTTGCAACAATCTGAAACTATGTTTTTGTTAAACCCCGTTTGTACATACTAAAACCGCTATTTTACAACCATCTGAGCCTCTGCAACTCATTATCGGCTTCTTCCGGCCATTTTGCTTAGACAAATTGAGGCAAATTAGCTCGTAGCCACCCCAATCAACGGGAAGATTTTACAAAAGGGCTTGTAAGTATGCGCATTGTCGACTCGCTGCTTCTTGGGGGTTTGGAATGGTGTAAATATAATTCCGAGACTATTCTTCTACGTCGGGTTTGAGGCGGCGTGTTTTTATGAGACAATCATCACTTCTTATAACCTGAAACTGAAACTGCTACATATAATATATTGAGTGACAGTAACTGCCGGAAGCACCCCGATGTGACTCGGATGGTCAAGAGGCGTAGAGGTGTCTGGAAGCCAGCCAAGAAGACCGTCCATTTCGCCGTGGCCCGCGAGCCAATCGACCGTTTTGTCAGCGGCTATATGCATATTTGCGCGTGGGTTAATGGCAATTAGTTGTGTTTACCTAAAGTTTTGCTTGGCTTAGGCTTAAGCTTAGTTCTAGGCTTAGTCTTACCTCGGCTTAGGGGTAGGCTTACGCAGAGACTTAAGCTTAGGCTAGCTTAGGCTCAATCTTAAGCTTGGGCTTAGGCTTAGGCTGGCCTTAGCCTAGAGCCCTTTTCTGCTTGCAACTTCTCTTTAGAGGCCCCGAGTCCTGCGACGGGCTGAACATTCACAACTTCACCAAAGCCATCTACAAAGCTTTTGACCAAACGCCGCCCCGGTGGCAGAATCCGCAACAGAGCTTTCGCATCCTGCACCACTTTGCCCCGCAGACATGGTGCGTCCGAATTGTTTTTGCTTCTGCTACTTTTGCTATTAAGGTATTGCGCGCCGGAAAAAGTTCGCTTCAAGTACAGCCCTAAATCCGGAAAGATGGCCTCGGAATTTCGTAAAATCATGGATGAAGCTAGGGTGCCGAGGCAGCATCAGAAAAAGGTGATTTACACTCAGCTATTGTTCTGGGTAAAAGTCTACTTTATTTTTTGCTGTAACATTATCATATCTTTTTCACATTTTGGTGTAATTAAATCGCTTTGCATTTTTGTTGAAGCTCTATCGAATAGTATTTTGAAAATAATGAAAACGAGCAAAAAGATTTTCATTTTGACCATTTTGCACCCGTTTTCAAAGCTTTTTCTTTTTCCTTTAACTTTATCAAATCAGAATTCTTAGCGTATTTTTCTACACCCAATCAAATGGCGTCGAGAAAACCCCGAATAAATCGTAAAAAAGCGAAAAAATTGTAAAAATCGAAAAAATATCTTGAATTTTCGTAGGCTTAGGCTTGGCTTAGGCTTAGGCTGAGCTTACGCTTAGGGATGTTTTCATGGGTGGTCAACTGGAGTCGTCGATTCTACCGCTTCCCAGTCCCTTTTAAATAATTTTTCAGATCCTGCGCCGCATCCGCGACCAGCCAATCAACACCAGCAACTCGACGGAGGCGCAGCGCCGCGCGCTTCGCGCCGAAATTTTCGGGCACTGCGAGACGCTGCAAAAGATTGTTGGGCTGTACTATGAAGATTATATCAAGCTCAAGTACCGTATACCAACCGGACTTCCGAAAAAGAAGCAGCTCAAGCGCGTTGTGATCGATTTGAAAGATGGAATTGTAGAGAAGCAGATTTTGAGGAAGCCAGAGGCACCAAAAATTCCGGTGAAGCTATCAAAAGGCGAAAAATTGAAGCAAAAATGGGTAGGAAAGGCGAAAATGCATCCGAAGATCATGAGAATTTTTGGAAAGCTCAACAAGAAACGACAACAACGAAATTGGACACAGAAACCAAAAATTCGAGCTTGGTGGAGACGACATTTGAGGAAGTAATATTTTAGGGTTAAGAAATGGCAAAAGAAGAATAACGAAGTAGTAAAAAAGCTATTGATTCTTTTTGATGATTTTTGTGGGATTTTGTGCAAATAAATTTTGATCGTCGAAACCTTGAGAATTTATATGAAAATTCTTCGTACGATTTTGGCGCTTCTCCAAATCAAAACAAACCAGTTTTGAACATAAATTTTTGCCCTTTCAAACGTTACCAACATTTAATTAATTTTCTACGTAGTTTTTGATCGCTGGCAAGGCATAAAAGGCCGTTTGCGGGAGGACCGAAATAGGCTTGGCACAGTTTTTTTCGACCCTGTTTTTGCATCCTAAAAGACACATCATTCGACGTAGAAAAAATTGGCGCATCTTTCTATGCTACTTTTAGGATGCCGCCGATTTCCCATCAAGTAGCAAATCTTAAAAAACTGTGTTTAGTACGCGAGTTTCCTATGTTCCAGCCGTTTTCAGGTTTCGAAATGTATTAGAGAAATGATCTCCATCCAAAATTAGGTATTGTCACAAATTTCCTGCAAATTTGGTCCAGTAATTTTCGAGATAGGTTTTCCATGTCGGCAAATTTAACGGCCATTTAAACCCCAAAAATCAACTTTTTAAACTTTCAAAATTATGCCACCCTACTAATTCGGCCACGCTCTTTCAGATGGCATCATAAAAATAGGGTCGAAAAAAACTGTGCCAAGCCATAATGGGGACAGGTCGGGTGGCTGGCGGACGGCCTTATAAAACATACCAGATGGTTACAGTCGCTTCGCGAGTGCAACCATCTGGCCTTCAGGCTACCCTACATGCCCCACTCCACCACATCCTTTCCCACCTCCATCAATACCGCCGATAGCGGAAATCCCCTTCAAAAACTACCTAAATACCTTCCTGATGGCTTCAGATACCCCCATGGCTGAAATCCCCTTCAAAAACTACCTAAATACTTTCCCGATGGTTTAAGATACCTCCCCTAGCCGAAATCCTTTAAAAAAACGAAAATAACGACCGACCGGATGGAATGAGAGAAAAAGAAATGAAATCCCCCGTGAAAATTTTCATCCACGAAACGCGCGCGACCTGGCTCACTATGTCCAAAATCACCCCAACCTCCGTCCCCCACCCCTTTTACTAAGGAAAAAACTTTCAAAGTTAATTTTAATAATTTAAACTAAATCTTTTTCATAATTTTTTTATCAGTTTGGGGGTTTCCGAGCACGCTCTATCCGAATCCGAAGAGAGCTAAGCTCTAGCTCCTTTCCCCTTCGAGTTGAATTCGGCTTCACACGGATAGACAGACAGACAGACGCGTCAAGAAAATTTATAGTTGATGATTGAAAAATCCTACCTTTTTTGGTCAGTTTAGTACAATTTTGGGTACAAGTAGGATAAGCAGGGGGGGGGGAATTTTAGGCGGGGGGGAAACCAACTTTTTTCCGCTCAAGCCTATTTTTTTATATAAATAATGGAAGTGTTTCTAAATTGTTTATAGCTATTCCTAAACATCAAAACTTTACAAAACTTAATTAAAAAATTTAATTTTAGGTCTAAAAATCACTTTTTTCGGCCCAAAAATGACCAAATTTTCGACTTTTTCAAGCTTTTTTCTAACTTTTTAAAAAATTTTTTCGATTCAAATAGGCTTAAATTTTGCTACAAACAATGTGAAAACACTTTATATTTGATTACTGTCCCCACCAGGGCCGACCAGGAAAAAGTTGTTTTCCCCCTGCTTAAAATTCCCCCCCGCTTATCCTACTTGTACCCAATTTTGATGGTGCCAGCCGAAAGTCAAAGTGAGCCGTAACGGCAGGGGACGCCTTCGAAAAATGCAAGCGAAGCAATTACGCTACGGTACCCCTCTCATTACTAAAAAGTGCCCCAACGCGGTCCTTTCATCCCCTAGGACGAGCCCTAGAGAGCGTAGATCGCTGCCGGCAGACCGTTTAGCCACAACGAGGGACCGTAGTTTATAGGTCCGGTTTGGGTGAGCGCAAAGAGCGGATGAACCCTTCTTATTACGAAAAAACTAATCCCCAAAGTTGTGGTTTGTCTCCGGAAGGGATTTCCGCAAAAATACCGAGAGCCGAAATACCGACAATTTATATAGCGACAGCCAACGTACGCAAGAGCGAAATGCGGACGGACGCCGAAAGCTGGAAAACCCATAGTTAAAGTCCCTTGAAAGCAACAAAATGCCGATAAAATATCGAAGGTTAGGAAAAACACCGTCACCCAAAATACCGAAAGCTGAAGTATCGACAAATGAAATATCGAAAACTAGAGCCATCGCCGAAATACCGACAGCTCAATTGCGGACAACAAGGCAGCGACAGTCGAGACTCCGACTACTGCAATTCCATTATGCGGAATGCCGACAACCAAAATATTGTCAACTGAGATTCGAATATGCCAAATGCCGACAACTAAAATATCGACTGGCAAAATGACGACACGGCTAACTGAAATCTGCTATAAAAAACTTTGCAGATTTCCCACAAGCCACTGTCATAGCTTCCAAAGACAATTGGAGCTCGTCTTTCAGCTCGTACTCATTTTCCAGCTCAAAGGATCACGAAGGATCGAAGGAGGAAGTTCGCAGAACTTTTCGTCCGTCTTGCCAAGCTATAGATCAGCATCAATTGCCAGATTTCCGGTTCAATGCCATGCGCCCGAAAATGGCACGCGTCACAGACAGCATATTATCAGACCCGAGATGGGGAGAAAAAGTGAAATTCTCCCGCCCCGAATTATGCCATTTTCCTTCCCTTTGCTTCTTTTTCATCCTCGTCCTTTACCACGAGCTCCTCCTTCGCCGCCCCGTGGAGGAGGAGCCTCAGGAAAAGCCGAGGCACAAACAAGGGGTCAGTTCTTCTTGACCTTCATGGTGAGTACGGAAAAATGCGACTCGAGTTAATGCTTTTTGCAACCTGGCATAATTTTCCAGATCATCATGTCCTGGCGCTTGATATTTTTTTGCGTCTTGATTACAGCAGCCGGCAGCTCTTATGAGACGACGTGTTGTGGTATGGCAGGAAGGAAAAAACCCTGGTTTGAAGGCCGATACTGCGCATTGTAATTTTCCAGCGACGCAAAGCAAAGAAAAACTCGAAATTGGTAAAGCTCGGTGTCCTGGGAGGTGTAGGGAGGTGTAATATAACGCAGGCGAAAAACGCCTACGTGGGGCGACAAAAAACGCCTCTTCACATCTCCTTACATCACCCACACTCTGAACCTTACGAAGTGCCCAAAAACGAAACAAAAGCAGAATATCAAATTTGCAAAACCCATAATTTATAGGTGATGACCCGGGTTGCCTAGTCTATACTGACTTCTACCGAACAGATTGGAACAAGGAAGACCTCGGAAAACTGCCTTCACGTGTGATCGACTTTTTCCATCATAGCGATAAGCTCGCTGAATTGATCCTGGCGAGAAGAAGGGAGTATCGCTCGGTCGGTTTTGGCAAATCTTTCAGGTGATTAGCTTGTCGACATTTTCGGCGCCCATTCAGCATCTCTTCAGAGCCTTGGCTCCTGGACGGCCCTGTTGCATCCTTTAAGGACAAATCGTGATCACAGGAAAATCGATGAATCGATCGTGCTGGGTAATGAAGTGATACGGGAGTTTTATAAGGTGAGTTTTGAGTCGCTAGAAGGTTCATTCTCGTTGGCCCTCCCCGGCGTTTGCATTCTTACTGTAACCGTTTTTGGTGAACGCAGCATTTCGATACGTGACATAGCAACATCTTGTACAGAATCTTTCGCTGATTGCATTTAATCCTACTATATATAAAAAAAATAGTGTCTGTGTGTGTGTGTGCCACTTTGCATGCAACTTCCGTCAGCGTGTCCGGAGGATATCTCAAGAGGGGAAGGGATGAAGGGGGCGTATGATACGTCATTAGACGCGTAATGGCGTGTAGATGACTGCACGCATATCAGATTTTGCAATTTCGATTGTTTTCGACATTAAAATTAAGTTTTTGCTTAAAAATCGGTCAACCTCTTTGTTAGGAAAAAATTAGCATACGCCGGAAGTGGGAGTAGCCTATGCAGGGTGGCGATTAAGTATTTGCGCCTGTTTCAAGCACGTTTTTTAGGAGCTAAATCGTAGTCGGCAGAAAAAACAAATAAGTCCATTTTGTAGCAAATTTTTTCCTATATCAGATGCAATGTGAAAACATGAAACTGCTTCACCACATAATTTTAATTTGTCTAAACATGTAAAACCGCGTTTTTTTGTATGGATTTTCTTCATTTTTGAGGAGCTCAGAAATTTTTTTGAAGAAGCTGGATATATTTCCGGATGTTTGGTCGTGGAAAGAGCTATCTGAACTTGCTAGAAAAAATGGGTATGGGCAACAGGGAGTCCTGAATAGGGCACGGAAGCGAAAGTAAATTTTGGGAAAGCTCGAGGGCCGCGCATCCTGTCTCAGAGCGACTTATCGCAGAAGAATGCATTCTAAAAAAATCGCACCTTTGAGGTATCTTCTTCATTTTGCTATCAAAATATAGGTAATTCTTGCGTCTCTTTACTAGCCGCTTTACCTAGAGCGAGAAAAGCTAAATTCTCCAGCCCATGATTTTTTAAGAGTGGAGCAAACGGGTCGCATAACCATGCATTTCATTCCATCGTTTTGTGCAAACATTTTGAGCTTTTTGAACGCCCTTAAGCTTTTCCGGACCGTTTGGATAGTTTAACCAAGTCCCCATCATGGAAAACATCTTCGACAAGTGATTGTAGAAATTTGAGTCATTTTGTGTTTTTCGTGAAAAAGCCCCCCGCGCGGCTCAATTTTGGTGGCCGAGAAAACTACGAATAAATCTAGGATCCGATTAGAAATAATTTTTCTGTCTACTACGTTCGCTAAAGGGCATTGCAACGCATATAAAGACCACTTGTTGTTTTGGCCAACTGAGATACTTAGGCTGAAAAGCCTAAACAAAAGACGAGATACGCGCGGCCCTCGCTAATGTTTGGGCGCTTCTCTCAAAGGTAATATCTTAAA